TTTTATTTCCTCAGTTTGGCTCAGTGACAATTACCCATTTCCTTTGATATACTTTTAAAATTATTTTTCACCCTAAAAACAAACTTGCTTCTATAAAAATATTGCACTATTTATTGTACCTTTAAATAGTTATTTAAAGTTATTCTTTTGATTCTGAAAAGGTTCGTCCACCAGCATTTTAACATGACATTACATTTGAACCCTTTCACTGAAGCCTCAATAATTATCCACTTGGAAGCTTGTAAAAGCGGATAATGATATGGTGTGACTTCCCGTGTAGGGTTTTTTAACATATTTAACTGACCGTTACAAATACAAATTAATGAATAAAATGGCTTGCGAACAGCGCTGCATCTCAGTGGAAAATAATATTAAGAGTATTCAAAATATATATGCTTTCGAAAAATAATGCACTATTAAAAAAAAGATATTTTGTTTGTCCAGTGAAGCACTGTTACCCATGCAGTTTGTTAGTCTCGATCCAGTTAACTTAGATAGCTGAATTAAATAAACGAAAGCATGGATAAAACGAAGTGCGTTAATTCAGGTTCTATTTTTGGTTCTTTTTTTTCTCTTCTTGTTCTTTTGAATGTCCTTTGACCTTTGAAAAGATGCTGACTCGCTTTTTTGTAGATCATGGTCAGATTTGCATTCAAGCACATCGTAAGAATTTTCATTCCTCAAATTGAAGAAATTAAACTATACAAGAAAATTGTACTACTTCGGCGAAGAGAAAAATGTAAAGAAAACAACATGATAAGAGGCCAAGTGCCAAGTGCGTCTCTGCAAGTCTTGTTTTGTGGATTTGGTGTACTGCTTTTGACAAAAACGCTTGCTCAGCACAATGCAGACAATGAACGGCTACATCAGTAATTAAGGACGAACGTACGTGCTTCAAGTCGGATCGCGTGATCATTTACATATTATCAAAAAAAATTAAAATCATAAAAACTATGGATGGGCAAGAACTTGTCGATAGACTTTAAGTGAACAAAAAAAGAGGCCACCGATGACTCAAAATAGTGTCTTTTTTTTTCTCCCGTTTTTTCGCTCTTTTTCCTTTCTTTGCCGTACAACCATATTTAGCGTTGAAATGGTTGCATTAGCCAGACAAAT